TTACCCTGCCTCTCTTGGGGAGACTCGTGCCCATGTTGTGTGAACAACTCTGCACGAGCACCTAAGGAGGCTTACCTCCTTACCAGCCCGTGGTGGCGCGTACGTGTCTCTACTGAGATGTACGAAGGGATTGACAACCTGAAATCCCTTTACGACCGTGCCGGGAAGACTTTCTCCGGCGGTCCTTCTGCGGCACAGGATGTGTCGCGTCGTACTGCTCGACCAGACCCAGTACGTCAACCATCAATTGGGAGCGGGGCTCCCAAGAATCCCAGGACGGGGGATAGCCGCGCCACCGGACGAGGTAACTCGTCCGACGTCCGTTCACGTCGCGGTGGTTCAGCAGCTGCTCTACTAGATAGCGCTGGCCACCGCGAGAGTCCTCTAATGGAGGTGGAGGAGGAGGAAAGACGCTCTCCACACGATCATGTGGATCGGTGTGTTCCCGAGAGCTTCTTTGATCGCGTAACGCAAGGGTTACGCGACGATCTCGAACATGAGCGGAATAGGCGTCTCCAGATGGTGGACACTGCCTCGAAGCATCGAGCTGAGTTTGCCTTTGCTCAGCTTGAGAACGAGAGATCTCTGACATCTCTTCGTGACGAGCTAAGGGTAGCTCGTGGGATTGTTGATCGGTCTCGGGATGAGATAGTTGCTCTTCAGACCCTTGTTGATGCCCACCATCGGGAGCACAAGGCTCTCTGCGAGATGCTTGAGCGCAAGGGCGTTCTTCATCGGAAGAAGCAGCGTACTGATGGTACGGCTTAAGCCGACCAACGTAAAACGTGGGATGCGTTCGCATCTTACGTGGTAACTCGATCGTGTATGCATTGCCTAGGCGGTGCAATACACGAAATGGGCCAATGTACTTGGGTAGTAGTTTACTGCTACCCAAGTTAGTCACTACATGTTTTGGTAGATTAACCGTAGACAGTAGGACTAAGTCACCTTTATTAAATAAAAGAGTGTTTGCCCTTCCATTCTTGTCAGCGTTTTGCTTTTGCTTATCCACCGCTTCGGCGATGGAGTCTTGCACAAAACGGACTACCGTTTCACGAGCCAGTATGAACTCATCTGATGACTCGTTAGCTTCAGTGTGCTGTGAGCGCACTGCAGCGACAACAACCTTTTCTTCAGTGAGGGCTTCCGCACTCTCACTGGGATCATTGTCTTCAGTGAGGGCTTCCGCACTCTCACTGGCATCATCTTCTTCGATATCGATGTTATCGATATCGGCATCAAACGCAATGACTTCTTCGTCAGAGCGTGATGAGCGTGAACCAAATCGGTTTTTGCTCGCGCGAGTCCCTCCCCCCTTAAACCAGAGTTACACTCTAGTAAGGTGGGTACACGCGGATGGCGCAAGCCATTCACGTAAAACGGTGTATGTGTCGTGGACGCATGCACCGAGTTGTTGATGGCAAACTCTACCATCGGCAAAAACTCACTCCAACTCTTAAAGGAGTGTACGTATCCTCGAAGTATCTCTTCAAGGACACGATTGGCACGTTCCGTCTGACCATCTGACTCTGGATGATCAGATGTTGACATCTTCAAGCGCGTTCCGAGTGATTTGAACACGGAACGCCAGAAATCAGCAGTGAATCGTGGATCTCTGTCTGATACGAGTTCACGGGGCAACCCATGAAGTCGGAAGATGGTGTCAATAAAGACACAAGCACAGCCACTTGCCGTGATTGTCTCTGGTACAGCCACAAGGTGTACCATTTTGCTGAATCTGTCAACAAATACGAGAATACCCGTATTCCCGCGTGCGTCTTTGGGTAACCCGAAGACGAAATCCATTGAGATGGATTCCCAGCACTCAGCCGGAACCGGTAGAGGCTGTAAAGGTGCACGCAGTGAAGGACTTGACTTCACTCGTTGGCAGACTTCGCATGCGCGAACATACTTTCGCACAAACTGATACTGGCGGGGCCAGTAAAAGTCTCGACTTACCGTGAGATATGTTTTCTCTCGGCCACGATGTCCTCCTATAGGAGCATCGTGATACTCGAACATGATCCGCAAACGCAGATCAGTATCATCTGGAATGACAACACGTGGTGTGTCACCAGAAACGGCTGTATAGTACAGTAAACCGTTACGAGTAGTGTATCGATCTGATGCAGATCGATACGCAGACGACAATCGTTTCAACGATTCTCGAGATGGTTGGGAGAGATGTGACAACAACTTCACTATCTCACCATCTTGGGCGTATGCCCGCCTCACATCATCATATAACGTTGTAGATGGAACTGAGGACGTCATAACCGCAACAGTGACTGTCTCACTGTTGGGTTTCACGACTGTTTCAAAGTCGGGACGACGTGAGAGTGCATCAGCGACGACATTAAGTCGTCCTGGTTTGTACTCGACCGTAAAGTTGTATTCTGCAAAGAATGACAACCACCGCGCCATTCGTTGTGAAAGGTGCGGGCTGTTCACTGCCGTGCGTAAGGACGCATGGTCAGTGTAAACAACGAAGGGTCTATCTCCTAATAGATAGACTCTGAACTTCGCGAGTGCATACTTCATGGCAAGGAGTTCCTTGTCATGCACTGGATAGTTCCGCTCAGCTGGTTGCAGCTGACGCGACTGATAGCAGACGACGCGTTCAACGCCTTCAAGATAGTACTGCATTAATGCACAGCCGATTGCGAAATCGCTGGCATCACAGACCACATGAAATGGCCTGTCCTGATCGGCTATTGCTAGGACTGGGGATTGTATCAAGCTCTGCTTGATACCCTCAAAGGAGCGTTGACATTCAGCGTTCCATAACCACCTCTCGTTCTTTTTCAACAAACGAGAGAGGTGTACAGTCATCTCGGCGTAATTGCGTGAATACTTATGCAAATACGCCGCTAGCCCAAGGAATTTTCGAAGACCTTTGACATCGACCGGCACGGGCCAGTCGGTGATCGCCTTGATCTTTTCGGGATCAGGACGTACACCGTTCTTACCAACGATGCACCCAAGAAGTGGTATTTCGCTTGCTGCAAATATACACTTCTTGAGGTTTGCATACAATTGATGCTTTCGCATGATTGTAAGAACTTGTCGGACGTGGTACTTGTGAACCTCAACGTCCGACTTTCCATCCATAGCTCGACTATGGATGAATAGGTCATCGAAATAAGTCGGAGCGAATTCTCATACTGGTCTCAACAGATGTGATACACATCTGTTGAACGTGGCAGGAGCATTACTAAGCCCTTGTGGCATTACTAGCCATTCCCAGAGCATGCCGCTAGGCGTGCTAACTGCGGTATAGGGTATATCCCGTTCTCGCATAAGGATTTGATAGAAGCCATCCATCAAATCCATGGACGAAAAGATGGTACTCTTTGACATACCATCAATGATTACGTCCTTCCTCGGTATCGGCGTCTGAGCCGGTACCGTTGCAGCGTTCAATTTGTTAAACGCGTGCACTATCCGCCACCCTCCTGTTGCTTTTCGCACACAGAAGGTCGGAGAGCTATGTGGGGAAGTTGATTCCCTCACATGGCCCGCTGCTAAACGATCGGCAAAGAACTTGTCGATCGCAAGTACTTGTTCACGAGGCAGTGGCCACTGCTTCATGACACAGTACTTCGAGCCTGGTTTAAGCTCGACTTCGTGTCGAATACCTTTATCCTTCGGTAATTCGCACGGAACAGTTTCAGGGAATACATCCTTGAATTCAACCAAATCTTCATAGAGAGGATTTTCCTTGAGCGATTCCCATGATTGGGACTCATATCGCTCAATTCGTGTCTTTTCATCTAGGACACTCTCGTCCATAGATGAACTACTGAGAACTCTCTCGTTCTCAGTAAACACTGTTGCTGACCTTATGTCGGTTACATACTCGTCGTCAGCGACGAGTATGCAGATCTGCTTGACTTTGCCACTACGCAGATCACGCAAGAACCTTTTATGTTCGAGCGTTGGCAACTGAGTGATCTCCGAAGTTAACTTCGGAGGCGCAATCAGATCAAGTGTATAAGCGCCTACACATGATCCGTTATTGACTATGACATTCAATGTCTCTGTCATTTCCTGGGGACTTATTCCCTCAGGCTTCGAAGGACTTATTCCTTCGTCTTCCCGGGGACTTATTCCCGCGGGTTTCGGGGAACTTATTTCCGCCGTATTTGTAATCTTGGGACTTATTCCCTTTACTTCCTCTAGCTGGGGTTGCGCAACCACAGCGAGATCCTCTACGAAAGACTCTCCAGTCGATCTAGGATTATCGTTTCGCTTAACCTGAGCGATCGATTGTTTCTCTTCTAGATGTTCCCCTCTAGGGATACATCTTTGTCCCAGTCCACCCGACTTATTCGAGTGGTGGACCTTCGGCGCAGCCTGTGTTTCCTCACAGCCGCCGGAACTTTGCTCCGAAGTGTAACCGTTTGGTACACTAAGGTTTTGTGCAGTCGTACTAACGACCGTACCACAAGTGAGGCCATCGCACTCACTCGTAGTACATCCACACGCTTGTGGACGCTCCAAAACGTTCATCAGATGGCCATCTGATGAACAAGCGGCAGGCATCGTTACTGTCCGATGTTGCCAGTTTACCCGTGGTTCGTACCTTCTGAGCCACGGTATTCCAAGGATGACATCAAATTTGTCATCCAAATCCAATACGATAAAGTCATCGTCGTATTGGGTATCTTCTAGCGTATAGTGAATCTTCACTATACGCTTCATGACGGTTACGGATGCGCCTGTCGCAAGACGTACCGTCATCCTCGTAGGAGGTGTGTCACATTCACTGAATTTAAAGTGACCATCTTCTAGCGATTGGCGTCGCACAAAATTGTTGGACGCCCCACAATCGACTAGAGCTCGAAGGGACAACTTATTCGTCACTTCGAGTTTCAAGGTAATGAGTGAGATCTCATTACCTAGAGCAGCAACGCACAATGTCTGTGTGTTGGGAGCAACCTTCATCAAGAGGCCTACAAATTCTCTTGACGTTGCTGGATCAGTAGGGTGCTCCGCACCTACTGATCCTGTCCGTTTTTTGACGGTCCATCCCGTTGTTGCGTCTTTGCACCAACTGCGGACCCTCGTCCCTGCCCCTTTCTCATGGGTGGACGGTCACTACGCCCAGTGTCGCGAGACACTGGACGAGGGGCACTACACTCGTAAGCGTAGTGTCCTGTCTTTTGACATCTGTTGCATCTCTGCAACTTCTTGTAGCCTGTAGAGCGAGCCTTCTCGCTCTCTACATAACAGAGTTCCATCGGCTCTGGACCTCCGTTGTCATATCGTCTCGGTTGACGATATGATGTCGAGCTGGCGCGAGCCTGTCTCAGACTGAAGTCTTCCTGCTCCGCAATTGAAATGGCTTGTTCTAGTGAATCTAGTTCAAGCCGGAACAGGTGAGTCTTGACGGGACCATCCGCAAGACCCTGCATGAACACCGAAACCAACGTGTGTTCATCCACCGGATTGGAACTTATACAACTCGTGAGATGTCGTATATGTTGAGCGTAAGCGTGCACATCACGCTTACCCTGCTTGAGCTTCAAGAGTTCGGTTCGAGCTCTGAACTCAGCTCTAGGCGGTTCAAACGTTTGTCTGAGCCGCGACTTGAAGACTTCCAACGACCCAAACGCATATGGGTCGTGCAGCTTGAGCCCCAGTGCCCAAGTCTTGGCACGTCCTGCCAGATTTGACTGGGCAAATGCAACTTGCATATCCCCGTCGTCGATGCGACGCGCCCTTATGGCGTCATCCAATTCGACGAACCATCTCAAGAGGGAGTCTTCTTCGACCCCCTATACTTTGAGATATCAATCTTCAAAGTCTCGGGCCGACGCGAGTGCATCGACCCGCCAGCAGCAGCCTGCTGCTGTCTCAACAGTTCAAACTGTTGAGCACCTTGTTCTCTCAACAACTCTGCTTGTTGAGAACCTTGTTGGTGAAGCAAGGCTACTTTCTCGCGTTCTGCGTCAAGTTCATTTTGAATGAACTTGGCGATAGTAGCATGTTGGGCATCTCTATTGAGAGCCTCTAGCATGACGCTAACAGCATGGATGCCCATGGTCGAACCCATTCGTTCAACCGCATCCCATTCGACATCGCTCAAATGGGAGTAGCCGTCACGCGTAGCGTGAAAGCTTTGGTCATCTTCATCATCCAACATATTCATGTTGGATGTGAACGCGGTCCTTGGACGGACTACGAAGTGCTACCAGGTGTAACGGGGCACCCTGAAGCTTGTACTGGTGACAGTACAAGCTACTTATTCTGATAACAGAATAAGGCGGTGCCTCGTAACTTCACGTACACTCGTACGTGCAGAGGAAGACGGTAAGAAGAAGCGAGTACTTTGTTTAAGTAAAAAGTAGAACTGTATTTAGTATAGTTAATGTCTGCAATAAATCACTATTTATCTTCATCTAACTATGTCTAAATACAAATGTGTAAACCAGTTATCTGCTCACCACTCATTGCGTGCGTCTGTCGTGGCGCGTCTTCGTTGGTTGATATAATGGCCTATATCAACCAATTAGGAACTACTTGGAAGTGCTACAGAATATTGTCCTTATGACAATATTCTGAGAATATAACTCTTATAGTTATATTCGATTAACAATTTCTTATAAATTGTTATGTAACGATTCACCCCGTTACAACAAGGCTTAAGCATTGATGTCATGTTGGGCGGAATGCAGTTTGCTGTGTTATGAAGTGTTATATTCTGGGAAAGATCAGCAAGGTGGACATGTAAGCTGCCGTAATTTAGTATCAGCAGCACCTTACGGTTAGATATTCTTTGATCGAAGTCCCTCAGCCGCTCCGAGAAGATGATCCGTGTCATCTAGTCTTTCTTGTTGCTGCGATACTGACAGACAAGTTTCTAAAGATTGAAACGGCGGAATCAGCGGTGAGTGGTGTACTTGCCAATAATACACAGGGCATTTTGTCGGACCATAACCGTTGCAGCAGACATCCAAAGTTATCATTTCCTTGTTTTGTTTACTTTTTTAGCTGCCGCGTTGTAACAAATTGTCAGCCTGAAATATAAGGATTGCATTTTTCAATTTAAAACAATTAGATTTGATGTCCTTTGCAGAGCGCTTACCTGCATCCGATAGAACAAGCCAGTCTCATGCATTTTGTAGATATCCTTCTTTGGTACTGCTTCAGAACATCAAGTAGGATGAAAGTGCATCGTCCACAGCAACCGTGTCCACCAACCCGCTCTTTTAAAAGCGGAGATTTATGTATTCCGTTGTGAGCTTTAAAGGATTCCTACCCATTTAAAACTAAACTGGCTCATTTCCTGGATGAATACGACTCAAAATTCGCTCGGAATGTTCGCAGATAAGGTTCACGCTAAAATTGATGCGAACCTATGGGCAGTGAGCCAAGCTATCAAAGCTTATTTCATCAGTGGATACTTGACTGAAACCTTTTTTCCCCCTCATATTGCTTTCCTCCAGAAGGTAAGCTTTCCTCTAAAATCTGCTAGTAACTGTTGCCTAGCTGACCCTTAGTTGATGAATTTCCTGTAGCGAGTTGACAAGCTGAGACTGAGTCAGTGCCGGATTCTCGGCACGATGCTTGCAGAGAGCCACAAGGACATCGTTTTCATTCTAGTGTGGTGTTCTCCTCTTAAAGGTATTGTTGATGTGCTGCTAGGTTGTTTTAGAAGAATTGGGAGGCAGGCCCGTAGACTTAGACCGACCACTGGAATCTAAAATGCAAAGTAAATATGTTACGGTCCTTGGTTCACAATTACTGTTGGAACTCTAAGCCTGCAAAATTCTTTCAGCCTTTACTATATTATTTGCCACATCGCGTAGTGCTAATTGACTAGTCGCGCTATACTTATTTGTATAATCTACCATGTCTAATTCTGGTCGTGAGTTTCACAGCAATGAAACGTGCCTTAAGTGGAGGACGTCACTGCCTGGCAGGAAATTGCTAGTGGGTCCCGAACACGAGGATCGATGAGTTAACTTTCTTGTCTATACTTCTCACCGGTATCGAGCCAGTAACTTTATATTGGCAATTCCATACCAAATTAGCTGATCTACAAATTACTTGTCTGATTAAAATAGGCCTTACTTTCCTCCGAACAGCCCATTAAATTGGAGAAATATTTTGCAATAATTGTAAGAATGCTCTAACATGTTCTCAATTATTACTTTTCTAAAATTATCAGAAAAGGAGACCCCAGCATTTTTATATAAATGTGTTTTGCAGTATTTAACAAGAGTATGCGCCTTTCCAAAGCTAATGTTTTTTACAACACACTTTGCCTTTGCTAGTCACTTGTGTCCAACGAACCAAAAGGAAAACTGAACTTTATTGATTCTTTAACTACATGCTAAACTTTGTCTAACTGACTTCTACATTGTGATCCTATGTCAGTAGACTTATGTCTTATCCCTACCCGAAAAGATGCGGTATTACCGTAAGTACGTGATACCAAGACTGTACCACAAAGATCCACCGATCTTTACTTGGTGTGGACATACAACATAACCGGCTCTATAATCGACGTTTAACCCTGTAACACCCTCCTTAACCAAACTGTCGACACCCTTATTTCTACAATTGTTAAGGGGCTACAATAACCTGTACTTAATTTGCACAATTTACTGCTTTGAGGAAGCCTCAAAGGCCAAGTCGGAGGCGTTAAGGATCTTCAACTCTCTTCACATTTTTGTCTTTTGAATTATTCTAAGTACGAATAGTTCCTTTGGAGTCATAGGAACCACTCAATCTACGTGCCTTTATATTACTGGCTGTTAATGGGGCCAAGCCCATTAAACCAGCTGAATATATGAAGCGCTACTTCTGCTACCTCGGAAATAGCTCCCCTACTTAAGTAACATGCAAACTGAATCAAAACTACTTATGTAACGGGGTGCTCCATTACGTCAGCCCTTTTAAAATTAGCACTCTCAATTCGTGAGTGCTCAACCTTAAGACTCCAACGGTCTCTCGAACCGAACGATGACCGAAGACGCGAATACCAACGACAAAGCACCTCCGCGCACAATCAGCGGGAGTTCGGGCGAATGCGTGATGAACCAGCACTGGATCCCTTGGGCGCTGTTCGACCTGTCCGGAGCGCAAGCTTTAATGCGCGGAAGACCGCAGTTATTTGTGGCGCGTCGATACGGCGACACCACTCGCATTCACGTGGTTGTGATGTGTTCCATCACGACGCTCTAGTTCTCGTGGTAGTGATTCATATTTACCTCGACGATCTCGTTCTCGTGGTTGTGGTGATACACGTTTGCCGCGACGCTCTAGTTCTCGTAGTCGTGGTGAAACACATTCATCTGGACAACACTCTCGTTCTCTTGGATTTTCACCGCGACAACGTCGTCGTTTATCGTCTCGTTCTCGTTTGCCACATAAACACATACGTGGTCGGACGCAACAAGATTGGGTGAGTCCACGGACTCATATGCCTGAATGACGTCTGGAACTCCTGAAGTAGTGACGAACGCGGTTCCCACGTACCTTGCTTGGGTAGAAACCCGAGCCAGCGCACAGATACTTGCGCGCGGTTAAAACCGCGCGCGCATATAATCGCGACGAGGGTCCTCAAGACCCAGTAAGCGCTCCACAGTCCCGTGCTTCTGCCCTACCGCAACCACAAGTGGCGTTGGGTGGTCGTAATGACAGCGTTGGCGTCCTGGTAGCCCAGGACGATGTGGATGCGGCGGTGAACATGGCTGTCGATGCCCAGCTGGAAGCTGAGACGACCACTGAGCGTGCTGCAAGGGCTGAGGGGACTGCTAGCGAGATTAGACAGTCGAACCTCGACCTGCTCTTACGGATGAGGAAACTGGAACGCCAGATTCTTTGGCACGCTCAGACTCAAACGCAGCCGCGTCCGATGTCCTCGGCGCGTCGAGCAAGACGGGAGGAAATGTCAGTATTTGAGCCTTTGCCTCCGGGGTCGGAACTAGCCCGAAAAGCGTAGCCGAACGGTGCTCTGTTTAGTGTCCCGACGTAGAACGTCGGGTGTAGGCGTAGCGACGAAAATACATCCAGTGTGTGGGTGTAGGCGATCGCCTTGAGCACCGTGAATGGACCGATGAAACGTGGCGCGAGCTTGCTCCCGACTAAATTGGGTAACTGCCGAATCGCGTAAGCCTTCAGTAGATTAAAACACACGGTCACCTTTCTTTAATGCACTCATATTCTTTCTTCCACGTTTGACTGCATTCTCTTTCTATTTATCCACTGCCGATCGAAGAGTGTTTCGCACAAACATCGTGATAGCTAGACGTTGGAGTAAGGTCTCCGACATAGCCATGTCATCAATTGGTAGCGAAGACTCAATTGGCGCGTAGTTGGCTTAAGGCGAGCGCATAACCTTAAAGGTTCAATCAGTATTTGCGCAGCCATCGAGTTGGCGTGGACGCCACGTCTCATGGCGTCAAAACAGCGGGCTTCGCCTCGCAACGGGCAACATGATTCGCGCTTAAAATACCATAAGCTGAACTCGATCGTTGATTATCACGTTCATCCATCTCCAGAGTGGAGCCACGATGAGCCGAGGGATGACTTACGGCAAGAAGAGCTGGACCTCGAGAGTGACGAGTCGAATTTGCAAAGAATGGCGTCAACTACGTTGTTGGGTGAACAGCGTTATAAAGCGCTAGCTCAGAGAGTGGCAAGAATGCACCCCAACATGTGAAGGAAGTAGCATAACCTCGAAGGACATTTTCGAGGACCCGGTTGACCCGCTGTGTTTCCCTGTCGTTTCTGGATGACCGGCTGTCGACATCTGCAACTTTGTGCCAAGGAGCTCGAACAAGTAGATCCAAAACGCAGGTGTGAAGCGAGGATCATGGTCCGAGACAATGTCGTCCCGTAAACCGTGATGGCGAAACACCGTGTCAATGAAGTACACGGAGGACTTAGCCGCGGTGATTGTTGCTTAAACAGGCACTAGATGTGTCATCTTGCTGAATCTCTCCTTAAATACCAGGTTGCACGTTTAGTTGTGACTGTCGAGCGCTAACCCGAAGATAAAGTTCATCAAACCTGAGTGCAATGCCTCAGCTGCAACTGGCAAGGGTTGCAGGGGGGCCTGCGACGATGGAGATGGCTTCACTCTTTAATAGATTTTGAATGTGCGAATCCAGTTGCAAACTCACTTGTACAGTTGAGGCCAGATAAAGTCACGCGACACAGCCGCGAAAGTCTTTTCGCGGCCCAAATGACCGCCAGCTGGGCCATCATAATACTTGTGGTGAATTCGAGGACGCATATCCAAGACTTTCGCGATAATAGTTCAAGGTGCATCAAGCCGATCTATGCTGCACAACAGCAAATCACCACCCGTACTGTATCGATAGATTTTATCACGCTTAGTTCGCAAAAGAGCTCTCAGTGCATCATCAGTGGGAGCGCGCAAATAGGCAATATGTCCGCGTAATCTGGATCGTTCGCATAAGCCTCGGCAATTTCATCAAAAAGGGATAGTTTGGATGTGACCCGAGTTAAGTACAACGACACACACGTCGCACATCGCACATCGACCATCCTCATCATCGTCGTCAGTAGCCTGACGACTCAGTGCTATCCGAGGGTCGTAGTCTGGGCGTCGTGACAGCGCGTCAGCAAGAATTTTGGTCTTGCCTGGCTTGTAGTGCACAATAAAGTTGTACTCAGGGAAGAATGAGAGCCACCGTGATATCCGCTGAGCCAGGTGCGGGCTCTTCATCGCTGTAAGCAGCGATGTATGATCAGTATGCAGAGCGAAAAAAGTGCGTTCGCTCAGTAGGTGTACTCAAACTCGATTAGTGCGTAGCGCATCGCTAGTAGTTTCTTGTCGTGGACCGGATCGTTGTCCTCCGCCAACTTCATCTGTAGCAATTGTAACTCACAATTCTTTCACGGCATCATAGTCATACTGCATGAGGGTGCAACTAATAACAAAAAAAACTTGTGTCACACACCACCTGAAACGGCTTGGTATCGTTTAAAACCAGCACTCGCGCTGACGCTAGGCTCTTCTTCACTGCGTTGAAGGCCGCTTGATGCTCGGGAAGCCACGACCACGTGGCATCTTTCTTCAACAGTGAAGACAGAGGTTATATGGACTGGCGTAAGATCTGGTATACTTAGGCAAGTATTTGTATGGACTGAGCCATTAACGCCACTCCGTAGGGTTCTTGGGTGGTTTCCATAAACTGATAGATGACTCTTTTTAGGATAGGCTCAAATATCATACTTGCTCACATCGAAACTCAGCACCGGAATACCCGGTGGAAAGAATACGCACTTCTTCAAGTTTGCATACAACTTGTCATCTAGCATGACCTGAAACTCCTGTTTCACGTGTTGAAGATGTACTTGGACATGAGTGAGGTTGCCCTAAGCGCGACTGTGGACAAAATTATCATCGAAGTAGCTTTTAGAAAAGTCTCGAATCGTTCTTAACACTTGCGATACCATGCTATTGAAAGTGGCTGGTGCGTTCTTTAATCCTTATGGCATTGCCAGCCACTCCTATAACATACCACTTGGTGTGCTCACAGCTGGGAGTGACAAGTCGCTCTGTCGCATCAGAATTTGTTAGAAGCCATCGGTCAGGGCGATGGCGCTGAAGATGACACTTCCCAACATGGAATTCAATACCATTTCTTTCCTAGGAATCGGCGTTTGCGCGGAGATAGTGGCATTTTTTAACTTGTATAACGCATGCAATATCCGCCATCCTCCTGCAGCCTTCTTCACACAGAAGGTCAAAATCGAGTGTGGTGAGATACTCTCATACACGTGGCCCGCCTTTCGACGACCTTCAAAGAATAAAATAATGGCTTCGCCCTGGTCTCGAGGCAATGTCCATTTTCGGGTCACGCAGCACTATTACCCTGGCACGATTGACAGGAAGTTCAGCCAGAATCTTTTCCGGAAAGATGTCTGCGTACTCACTAGCAATCTCATAGACAGGGTTACCGGCCCGCACACAGAGCCCCCCTTGTATGCGATACAAAATTTTCTTCGCGCGCTGACTATGATTCAGCGCTTCGAGGGCGCGTCATGTGCTCCTCGTTTAGCTCAGGGCCACCTCAGTGGTGACCAAGCAACCTTTTCTACCGTGCCTCCCTTTAGGTCACGTAGAAAATTCTTCTAGGAGAGCTTTAAAAGCCTCGTAATCGAAGACGCGTCGCGAGGTAGACTCTTGAATTCAATGCAATGGCGCCTTTGCGGACTCCCGTCCACGTACACGACAGCGTGGACGCATTCCAACGCTGTAATTTTGATGCTTGCATCCCCATATTGCTTCGAGTTCATGCTCGAAGCTGGAGATCCGCAGCTAGGTGCCAATCCATTACCTCCCTTTAGACATTGGATGTCCTCATTTAGGATGTCGAAAATGCGTGACGGGAGCAACTCATACTCGTCCATCAACGCATGAAGCAGGAGCTTCTTATCGACCGCTGTTACCTTGTATTACGGCCCCTGCTCTACGACAAATTTGCCATGTGAGAAACTCGGTTTAGCTACAGTGAGTGATAGAGGGGACACCTGTTTGACCATCATGCTCTGACGTGGGGACTCCTGTTCGTCCACGTCGCACTGGATCACAAGCTCTGGCTCGCCCTCATCTTGGTTGTGTGGGAGCCTTTACTAATCCACAAAAGAATCAGTTGGGAACGCCGGTTCGACCACTGCTCTCTCGTGCAAAAACTCCTTTTCTATTGCGTCTTCCTCATGCGTAATTCACTGCTCGTCCGCGTAGTCCTTGCACCGGAACCACTGACCATCCGCGTCATCCTTGCACGAAAGGCACTGCTCATCTGCGTTATTCACTTGCTGCAAAGCGAGGAGACATCGTTACCTGCGTGTATAATGGAGGCACAAGCGGTGCATAGAGGGCCATCGCTTGCTCTGTGCACCGCCTGGGTCGTGGAATCACGATCCACGACCACGACGTTTGGCCAATCACTTAAGGGTACCAAGAGATGAATAATCACTTTGCCGACGTCAAAATTGCGTCGACGTCTCACTGATCGCGCTAACCAAATTATCTGGGACCTCCAACGTGCAAACTATGGCATGCCTAGGATGCAATCGAATGCATAATTAATCTCAATCACCAAAAATTTGTCGTTGCTGCTAAAGACATCGAACGTGTACGGGAGTGACACTTTGCGCTGCGATAAGCGGCGTATTTTCCCGTCCGCGAGCTTGACGACCACTTGGCCAGGCCCCTCGTGGACCTGGATTTGGGTCGTAGCAACGAAACAAAAGTTTCACGGAAGAAATTGTTTGTCGCTACTGAATCCAGGATCGCTCATAGTGGTCGTCAGACACCACCGACGCGCATACTGACAATGATCAGGCGCGATTCGCTACTCTATTGGAGCATTTAACCGTGCAAGCACCACGGATGGGCTGGGAGCTCTGGCTACCACCGGTCTACCCAGACCTCTCTCCAAACGAGTAGGGTGACCTGCACCTACTGGTACCGTCCGTTTTATGGACGAGTTGGAGGAATACCTCTCTCAAGATGGATTTCAATCGCATACACAGACCTTGGTCCTTGCAGCCGCGCTATGTCCCGGCTTTCGAGATTGCAAGAAGATCATCTCAAGTCCGCTACGGACATCGCCCTTGTAGGACGTAACGCAACGTCAAACTCCTGACGACTCTATTGCATCAATCTCCGAGAATTCCGGTCCTGCTGATTTGACAGCGATTACAATTAAAGGCTTGGTGAGGGCCTTGATGACTCTCAAGTCCTCACGGGGGGCCAAAGCGAAAGCCTTCTCTAATGCGTCAAGCTCCACGCGCGGTAGCTAAAGGCGAGTCCGTCTTTCACGCATGACATCGACAAAGACGTTCACTTGTGCTTAGATGTCCATGGAATGCGTGACAATGCACGACGCCAATTTCGGGCCATCTGCATGTAGAGTCGCGTACGATTATCTTGCCCTGGCTTAAGGCCATGAATCGTGATAGCACAAACTTCTCTTTTTGTGGCGTCTCGAAGGCGAGTTGAAGGTCACTCTGGATAGCTTCCATATTGAAGAACGCATACTCGTTCACAAAGAGATTATATAAAGCGAACTCCTCACTTTCCAGTGAGACGGGAATGGAGGAAGTTAAACTCCGGTTTTGGAACCTCTAAAAGTCTTGAGGCGAAAGAAATATCAATTTCCCGGAGCCACCGTGTCAGAGACAGGCATTCTTTCCCGTCGCCGGTGTAGAAGGAGGTCTCCATCATAACGGCATCATTTCAGAAGCTCAAAAAGATGTTAAGACTCGTCAATTGGATTCGGCGAGCTTGCGATATTTGAAGTCGTATATGTAAAGACGCTAGCCATCTTGTAACGGGGCACCCTGAAGCTTGTACTGGTGACAGTACAAGCTACTTATTCTGATAACAGAATAAGGCGGTGCCTCGTAACTTCACGTACACTCGTACGTGCAGAGGAAGACGGTAAGAAGAAGCGAGTACTCGGTTAGAGTAAAAAGTAGAACTGTATTTAGTATAGTTAATGTCTGCAATAAATCACTATTTATCTTCATCTAACTATGTCTAAATACAAATGTGTAAATCAGTTATCTGCTCACCACTCATTGCGTGCGTCTGTCGTGGCGCGTCTTCGTTGGTTGATATAATGGCCTATATCAACCAATTAGGAACTACTTGAAGTGCTACAGAATATTGTCCTTATGACAATATTCTGAGAATATAACTCTTATAGTTATATTCTATTAACAATTTCTTATAAATTGTTATGTAACGATTCACCCCGTTACATCACCCCCCTTAACCATCAGTCACTTTAGTGACTGATTGACTAAATGGATACTCGTCCCAAATCATTTGGGACGGGGTTTGCACTTGTTGGTCCGCGTCCACTTTCCAACATCTCATCGCATGGTAAACAAGCCCATGCGATGCGCGAGCAAGGCCGCCGAGAGCGCGTCTGCACGTCTCTGTGCGGACGCCGAAGCAGAAACTACAGCAACTGATGTCCCATCGGTTGCTGAATCGACTCAGCCTGTATCACCTGGTGATGCAGGCGCTGGTCATGAAGACACTCGTGTCTTCACAGAGTACGAGCTCGGTGTCTCGTACTCTCCTGATACGGATGACGGATCCGTATCGACGGCAATTGAATCCAAGCCGCCTGCCAAGCGTGGCATGGACGATGCTTTGCGTCGCAGCATCTTTGGTTCATCTGATGAGTCAGATGAACCATCGCCGAAGCGAAGGCGCTCGAGGTCGCGAGACTCGGGCGCTAATAGTGGTGTCGTTTCTCCAATGGACACCACTTCACAGCGAGGTGCCAGTACTTCTGTCGGCACGTCGCAGGAAGAGCGGGACCGCAATGTGTTGCGTCTCGCTCCAGAAAAGAAGGCATGGATGCCTCCTAAATCTGTCATGGATCACTTGTCGGCGACGACGAGTGATCGTTATCGAACACGATTGTTCGATTCGTCGAGGATTCATCACCTTGACCCCAGCGCGAAAGACTATCGCGCTGAACATGAGTTCTTCATCGATGCTTTCTTCAGACATCGATGGTACAGTGGGAATCACAAACGTGATGGTCCCTCACTACTTCAGGCGTGGAACGCCTACATCCATAATCTCGAGGATGTAGGTCGTGACGCTTGGAACGACAAACTTATCAAAGCTCGTGATAAGTTTGAAAAGCGAACCCCGACAGGTGCACGCTATAAGCTGCATCGTCTGTCAAG